TGCATATTCTAAAGGTACATCCTAACATTTTTTTCAAACATTTGACAGTAATTTCATTTATGTTTAGGTTAAAGATCAACTTGGTATGAAATCTCTCACCCAGGTCTATTTTACTGTGATAACTATTTACCAAGAGTGGAAGGTTAATATATATAAACATACAGTTTCTGACGATTTTTTCGTGAATAACTCAAAAAGTAAGAATTTTAACGCCGGTCAAACTTGGAGCACATGAAGTGAAATGTCAATCGGTTACGATTCTTTTCAACCGTGGTGGTAATGGAAGGATACTTTTTACATTTTTTGTCGCCGAAAAAATTGAGACCAACATCATTTTCATCATAACTCGCTTAGTTTTGATACTACCGACTTTTGTAAAAAATAATTACACTTCCCATTCTCAAATCAAGATGTCATAAAAATATTCATAATCAATTGATAATCACCAATAGTTAATTTCCTATTTAGTGTATTTATTATTATGACAAAATCAGCTGATTAGATTAATTAACTAGCACATCACGTCAATTTACATGTCAAAATTGTATTCATCAAGATATATTGAATATTTGCGATATCATGGGATAGTTATCTCAACCAGATACAACTGTTTTCTGTTGCATCAATTTATATTACATCGATATAAGATAATTCATCACAGTTTGAAATAATCTTCAAATGTGATTGTTTGCACGAGACTTATTATCTTTCAGCCAGCTGCTGTATATAACTAATTATATTTTATAGTTGTTGGACCACAACGTACCTTTTGTAGTTGGATTATTTTTACAATTTTCTTTCTTCTGTATGGCAAAACAATTTTATCAGCATAGCGTATTTTGTCTGGGGCAACTTTTGGTGAATAAATATTTTTTATGTTTGTTTAGCGTAATTTTTATTTCAGTTTATATAATTTTTATGGAAAATTTTGTTGCAAAATGCCTCTATTGTTAAAAATTCATGACCTGAATTTTCAGGACGTTCTGAGAAAAAACAACCATAGTTGAAGTGATAAAAAATCATTTATTATAATTATGAACATAGGTACTTTTTTTTTTAGAATTTTCGAGACTGAAATTACGTTTATTTCCGTTTTTGCTTCGAAATTTTTTGTTGCCAGCTTTTTACAATGCTTCGAAAAATCAACAAATGACTTGTTGTTAATTTTTATTACAAAAATACCATTCGAGTCTGTAATGGTTTACTCCAACTTCCAAAAATAAAAAATAATCCCCTGCGGTATCTCAATTGTTACATTTTTTTATTTTTGGATTCAACAAAAAATTTTCTAATAAGTTGTATTTATTGAAAACACTTTCTAACACCAAAACAAAATCACGGTTTTTTGACGCACGTTTCGCTAACCTAGTTAGCGTCCTCAGGAGATCATTATGACTAAATTTTACTACTATGTTGGTGTTTTTATATCCTAGTGGCCTAACTACTACTACTACCTGTTAGTAGTACCTATCTACTGTTTTCTGTTTTTTCGTTTACCAGCTGTCGCACCTCTACGAACGACAACCCTCAGAAGTCGAAACTTCTGAGAGCTAAGGATTAACGAGGTCTTTTAACGTGTGATTACCAACACGGTTAGTATTATCTAACTGCTACCTGTTATTGTTCCTATGGAAGCAAGTTATAACAACGAACAACCCTATGATCATAATAAATATTGCTTATTTTTCCAGTAATGAAAACTATTATTTATCCCTGCAAGTAGAGAAAAAATAAAACAATTATATATTCAATAAAAATGATTTACTATACAATATATTGGTATGTGTTATAATGAAGTTTGAAATTATAAAATATCTGTTCTGGACTGCAAAATAAATATTTTATTGAATTTAGTTGAATAGGTTTTATTTATTTGCCATATATTTTCATTTCAGATTTTTTTTTTCAAAACTAGCTAGGAAAAAGAGATATTTTATTAAGAATTTAATGTTGTTTTGGAGGTATGAATAACAAAGTGACGGATTATTAATGATTTTGACATTCTCGATCATACCATTCTTATACTAATTAGCGATAAAATTATGTAAACACTTCAAAAAAGCCTGGAATCCGGCAAAGGGATGTCCCAATAAAGGAGTGTTTATATGTTTACTTGGAAATCGATAATGTGTAGAGTTCATCCTCGTTCGGTTGTGTAATTGTAAGTAATTTTCCATTTACCCTCTTATAGATAACCATCCAAATATCGTAAATCGCCCTAATCCCCATTTATCTAATCCTAGTCGGCTTCGAAACAGCTGATTCACATTTCACATAAATTTATTTATGTGTCCTCCCTCTAACTCTCTAACGTGACCTTGCCACGATTTTAGGAGCTCTTTCATTAAATGGAAACCAGTTTTCTCAATGAAATGCTAACCTTGGAATGACTACGAGCTTAGGGGAAGTCCTACGCGAAGACATTATTTTTATATTGATACCGAAAGAGCCGTTACGGACCGCGTATGATGATGGGTTTTCTCTCCTTTTCCGATGGTTTTATTTGGAATGTATGTTTGTGGAATGCGGCGCTCTTCATTCAGAAAAATAAAATACGATAAATACAGTTTGCGCTTCAATAAGACACGTGTTGAATGGAGTTATCAGAGTTCTCGTGACCTTAAAAAATGAAAGGAATGTTCTTGATTATTCCATCCTTATTACCATTCAAAACAAGATGAATCTGTAGTAGAAAAGGTATGAGTACAAAACAATACAGTATATTCAAAATGTGTTAGAATTACTTACTCATTATTAAAATTACTTGTGTAATGTTTCAGTTGTTTTATTTATTTTTTGGAAAATCGCATTCAGAGGATTTTGTGAAGAGTGTGGTCAAAATATTATTTGTATCGTAGAAAATCCACGTGGTTGAATGAAGATTATATTTTCTGTTTTCCAAAAATTGTTAGAAAAGATCAATGACATGGAATACCTTGTGATATTGGATGCATTGGCAGAAATGGATAGGTTGAAATACATACACAGTCTATAAAGCGTGAAATAAATTAATAGTGAAAAAAAATTCAAAAACAAGCTTTCATTGAAGCGTACTGAGCTGCTTCACCTTCTCAAATGAATAAAATAGTTTTTACCAAGAATGGAGAATTATTTCTAGTAAAAATCAATTATAGGCACTTAATAAATATCATTATAATTGATTGTAATTCAATATTGTAATTGAATTATAGTTCTGCTAAAAGCTTGCTAACAAACTAATTTACCACGTTAAGTTTATTGATATTAATTTATACTTACTTCTATGATCATACAGGACGACAATGACAATCATTGTTTCTGGAGTAAGAAGGTATAGTTCCTTGGAGCCGATATTTCTAATGAAAAAACTATTTCGGTTTAGCCGAAAATTATTTCAAGTCAAGAATTTTTAATAGAATTCTGTTTCAGACTATTTGATGGAATATAAAATTATCTTTTCAACGATATAAAATGGCGTCCTAGAAACCATTTTCTCGAAATCCAATATGGTGGCATTATGACGTCATCATATGGAAATATTGTCCAACAGCCTAGATGTCGTGAGAAATGAAAGACCAATATTATTCAGGTCTTATATCAAAATTCAAGAATCGAACTTTTTTATGAATTCACGTAGTTTTCATTATTCTTTCAAATGTAATTTCTTAGTTTTTATAGAAATTCAACATTGAAATGTACCTTTTGTTCTACAAAATACGTCAAAGATACTATGGGATTAATTTTTCTATGACAGTGAAAAAGTGAAAGTTTCAAAGCTTCCTTACTTTCAACTCATAAAGTAGTGATTGTTGAAAATTTAAAAAATACACTTTTTCACTGGCACAGAAATGTGAATCGAATAGTATCTTTGACATTTTTCATAATACAAATGGTACAATTTTATATTGAAGTTTAAAACTCTACTTTATATCAAGATTTTCGAGTTAAATGAAGAATTGGTGAAAAATTTGAATTCGAATCATTTTTCTATTCTATCAAATGTTATACAGCGTTGAATTTGAAACTTTTGACCTGGGTTTATTTCCTGTTGAACTGGAATCTTTCTCAATTGTTTTTCCATTAGAAATATCGTCTCCAATGAACTATAGTTCCGAATTTCAAAATTCTGACCCCAGATTTCGTTGCTACCCGGTTTTGTATTGCTAAAAAGCAATACTATGAATTGAACACAAGTATAATTTTAAATTGATATGATATGATAATAAATTGATATGATGATAACGACAGTCAGTAAATAATTAATTTACTTAATTCAATCCTCTATTCCGAGTAAAACTTATTTTATTGTTTGTATTAAAAATGGCTGTAAACGACATAAATATGGCCCAGAAGGCCATTTAGAAGGTTATATTCAAAATATGCTTCACCAGTAATTTAGCTATTCCTGTATATTTGATGAATTAAAAATCGTATTTTAGAATAGAATAATATTTTGTATGGTTATAATTTGAGTCATAACTTTCCACTCTAAACATTTGAAAGAGTGTAGATGAAAACATTGATGTTTCAACTTCATATTAAATTGGTTTGTCGGAACAATCACATGAAATTTATCGTCAGCTAAAATTCAATAATCTCTCCTATTCAATTTTATTGGAATTTGCGTTGGCCCAATTGAACATGAGTACCTTTGTCTGTCGAGTTCGTAAATAACATTCAATTTAATACCGCATTGAAATGAATTTGTGTTTTCTGTTCATTACCATGAAGAGCACGCAGCGAATTGATTATTATCGGATTGTTTCAAAACAAGAGAACTTTATTAGAGGAAAGTTATCAGTTCATACTGGGTGATAATGAAATCATTGTGCATAGCGCATTTCAGTTGTGTGGTAAAAACTATTGGTCTCTCTCTCTTCTTTATTGGCCGATGCTTCCTGTTCAGGCGCAATTGGGGCCAGCTTAAAAAAAACTATTGGTATTGTTGGAGACATTGTTCAATAAAAAACTGATATTACTACTGATGAAAGAAGGCTAAAATTGTTTTTGTTTTGTTCCAGGATTTGAGTGGGGGTAACAGCAATGACAGTTCGGGAGGACCCGCGCCGGGTACACCAAACTCGCAGAGTATGAGGCCAACTCCATCTCCTACGGGGTCTACAGGTTCACGATCCATGTCGCCAGCAGTGGGTCAGTATAATTTGTGCCATTTATTGTACAAAAATATTCTAGATCCGAAAACCATAAAAACATTTATGAACTAAGAACAATGGGCGAGAACAATAATTTCTGGAAAAAATGTCATCACCTCCAGAACAGTGAGAAATGTTGTTGAATTTTTCATCATTTTTTCTCGAAGTATTTTTTCCAAAGAAGTTGTCCTTTTTCAAAACGACATATATCTGACGCCACAAGCACACTATCCTCGAGAGGGCTACAAAGACCATGTGACAAAAACGAAACGGCTAAGTTGTCGGTTTGACTTGCTTATAGGTCGATTTACAGTCAATACACAGGCCGACAGTGTTAATAGCAAATACCCAATGAGTAAACAGCATAAAATACAATCCTTCTTGTATATGTCATTATTTATAAAGAATGTCAGAGCAATCTAGTGCCTGCTAGTAAACAGCATAAGATTCTCCGTTAATTAAAAAAAAGGAGACTCGCTTGCGCAGAAATCAACCAATAAAATGACTAAACTTACTGGCTGGATTCGACATATTTCATTTCTGCACATAGAAAATAATTTGGAATTGAAAAATTCTAACATCATTTCAGGATCCACTATTAATTTGTTTTTTTTTCGGATCCTGACTATATATTAATTATTACGAAACATATAATACTTGGAAACCAGCATTCGGTATGTTCACAAAAGCATGAAATGAGTAAAATTTGTTGGACACTGAATAGAAGTGAAGGCGATGACAGGGGAAAGTGATCAACATTTCCTTTGGAGTTCCGTGATGTTGAGAAACTGACAAGGCAGGAATATTACGATCATAGTACCTTTTTGGGGTGTGTGTAGCCTTAATTTGCTGGAGTCTGTATTTGTATATACGATACTTGTGCTTGCCTAATTTCCACTAGTTATTTTATTTGTACGACCGGTCTCTGGTTTTATCTCATTATCAAGTATTAAACTAAATTGTCGCAATTGTGTTCTCGCCCATTCCTATAGAACCGCATTTCTGAACGTTATCAATGAGTAACAATTTTTAAATTAATTGATGAATGTAATTATAGATTGTTCAGTATTTTTTTGTGAGTAACGTGATGAAGTATATCTGTGGGTGACATGGAAAAAATGTGTCTATTTTTAGAACACAGTTCAATCTATTATTAGATTTTCATTTAAGTGAGGTAGGCGGAATGCTGGTTAATTCCATAAATTATAAATGTATAACACGTACACCTAAAATCAATCACTGATATCATAAAAGCAAATCAATATGTTTTCATTACCGGCTTGTCACGGTGAAATTGAATTGGTATAGTTTTGATCCAAATTGATGTAATAATATGCATTTGAAATTTGTGCAATGCTATCAATTTTATTTCAATATAAAAAAGAATTTTGGTACCTCGCTAGCGAACCGCTTCGACTTCGCACGCATTGCATATATGCCTACAAGCATCAGTTTGACTAATAATAATGACCTTTGATAAAAGTATGTTGCCAACCATCAATAATAATTTTGAAAAAAGTAATTATCTATCTACCTAAAAAAAACACAACAAAAATGCAATCTTAACTGAGTGAATAATTACGTGAAATAAAACCAACGCAATTGCAAGCTCTCCTCATCACGAGGATCTCATCGGTTTGTGAAATTCCGCATGAATGTATTTTTCCCACGGGATAGTTTTAGTTTTGCGATATAAATTCTGTAAGGTAAATAGGGCAATTAAAATGTGTATAAAATGCTTAAGGGCATTAAAATATTTACTTGATAAGGATTAATATCACAACCGTCTAAATAGCTTTTCAATCACCCCAATTTTTCATATTTGATTGAATACCAAAAATATAAATATTTTTCAAATGAAACTGGGAGAAATACGAAACAGTAGCGTTTTTGTAAATATCAATCAAAATTCGTGTTATTAAGTCCGTTTGACCTCTTCATAATTATTTCAAGCCTTTAAAAATTTATCGATGCATTTTCAATCCCAATGAATTTCGCTTGGAGTATGAACATTTGGGCATTGGTTTCAAATTTGAATGTGGAATGAAGCTTCAGCTGTATCGTACAAAATAATTTTTTTAATCCTGATAGTTCCAATATTAATTATCCAGCCCTTGATGTCCTAATTTCTTTTATAATTTCGTAGAATGAAGTTGTTTTCATTTCGCAGTTGCAGGTCAAAACATTCCGATGCCACCAAGGCCTTCAAGCGGTCAGTCTGAAGGTAACGGACCTAGTCGCATAAGCCATTCACCAATGGGATCCCAGAGCAGCTATCCAGCACCACATTCATCACCACATCCCGCTCACGGATACAAAGGCCATCCTAGTATGGTGGTGTCTGGATCTGTGAACCAACAAATGCCGTTGTATCAACCAAACCAATACCCCCAAACTGGATATCCTCCGCGACCTCCTAGTAATGTTCAGTACCCTGGTCAAGCGTATGGTCCACCTAGTTCGCAACCTCCACCTCCGAACAACATGCCCCCTCAACAGTTTCCAAGTCGGTCTGCCCCGAATCATTTGCAGAACTCACAATTTCCTCCTTACCAACAATCGTGGCAGGCCTCAATATCTCAAAGCTCGAAAGGTAATGGTCCAAATCCACCAACGCAGACTCCTGGATCGCAGTCACCTGGTCCAACCACCAGACCACCTCACTACCTCAAACACCATCTGCAGCACAAGATGGGTTTCCAGAACGTTCCGGGATCAGCACCACCAAGTCCTAGTCCACCTCAAAATTACCATATGGGACCTCCTTCCGGACATCATCATTCTGGTATGGGTCCCCCATCAACTATGGGACCTCCCAATATGCCTCCGGCTAGTAGTCCTCTCCTTCCTAACAATCATCCTCACGATGCGCCCATGCCCCCTCCCAGTTCAACTCCAAATTCACACACGCAAATGGTTTCTGACATGATGGATAACGGTATAACGACAACGGCACAGGGAGGGCTGAATACACATGTGACAGCAGCTGCAGGGGGCTCAGTGACATCCGTTGTTACTACAGGTCCTGACGGAACTCCTATTGATGAAGGCTCTCAGCAGTCGACATTATCTAATGCATCAGCGGGTGAGTCATATATTATTTTTGATTACTTTAATTTTTGCACATTCAAGTATTCGTCTGTCTGAATTTATTCAACGATGTGGTCATTAATGCGGGGAACTTTGAGTTGAAGTAGGGCTAAAGGCCAGCTAGTCTTCAGGAAAATTATGTAAACTGCTTCTCATGAGTAACTTTTTTCAGCATCTGGAGAAGATCCGCAATGCACGACTCCGAAGGCATCCCGTAAAAACGACATGGGTAGTCACTACAGTCACCCAACAACTCCTCAGAGCACAGCACCTTCGCCTGGCGCACCAATGAACTCAATGCACGAAGATTATGGTGAAATAGGTAGCCCAAGTTGGCAACGCACTCCTGCAAGTCCAGTAAGTTTATTTCGATATTCCATTATTCTTTTAGATTTTTCAAAAGTATTTTTATGAGTGTGGTTGTGATTGCACAGCACTGTTGTGAAGCCATATTATGTTCCAATCGTTTCTTATATTCACTCTGTCCATGAATTGTTATAGTTTTGTTTTATCGACATATCCATGTTATGGTAAACTTTTTGTGTTCTCCTGTAGTTTATTGAACCTGCCATACCTACTGTTGCATAATGTTTCTGATTTTAATTGGTATGCGAATTTTAGAAAAATTTGAATCGATAGTTAGATATTTTAATGAAAAATTCGAAATTGAAAGATGGACCAAGAGTTATCAATGATTTTTCTATAGATTGGTTTTCCAAGTAACGCAGCATTTTGGACACATTCAAAAATCATTTTTGAATAATAAACAGTATTTGTTACATAGTTACCGTACCATTATGAAAGTTAAATTCAATACAGGTTTTAAAATTCTTTTAGTGAGCTTCTACATTTAGGTGAGGAATGTCAAATTTTATTTTGTTCCAGTATAGGCTGTGGAAATTTTCAGCACAATCGAACAACCGCTAAATGATGTGCCAAATATAGTAAAACGATAAATTTTATCCAAAAGGGTTTTCCAATCTTTCCTCAACCATGGTCCCCTTTTTTTCTGAGCAATTTTATGTGAAACATCCAGACAATCATATTAATTGGTTGAGAAATGTAGAATGTTTGGATTGAAATGGGTTTTTCCAGCCATCAAATATCGGAACTTGTACGTTCTGAGAAAGAACGTGGTCTTACGTTTTATAGTTAGATTTCTAGTCCAGCCCAAGCATATATTACTACTCCACCACGATGAAAATTTATATCACAACAATGTGAAAGGGACAACGTTGAACACGCCCTGAGAGAGGATTTCATAGATTTTTCATTTTATTTTCTTCTGCTAGTACAAAAGATGAAAAACGAAGTTTGCAAAAAAAATGGAAAGAATGTACCTCTTCAGTGTTTTTTTTCATGTTAATGTCGGCTTTCAACATAAACTAAGTCATCCTTTGGCACAATTTTTTATGAAAAACCGTGTTTCTGAATGTAGTCAATTTTTTGCCAATAATGGTACTTTGATTCTTTTTATTTATAAGGCAGGAGTAGGGGAGACCGGGGTTAATTGGCATAAGGGGTTTGTTGGCATACTGCTTCTATTTCCAGCCACTCTGGATTTAGAGCGCTGTCGTCATCTTGCTAGTAGTGAGTGTACGCGAAGTGCACCATCCATTGTTTCAGTCTACTTGGAAGCGCCAGGAAGAAAGAACTCCTGACCTGACGTTTTTATGACAAATAAGTGATTTTGGTCCGGTGTACTGAACGTTGAATTGAGGCGCTGCCGATGGCGATTCTTGAAAGAGTGACCAACTGTGATTACAAGATTATACGAGTTATGTTCAGAAACATTTCTAATAATCGATTTTTCAACGATGCGCTTTCAATGTCATCTATGCTTGTAAAACGACGGCGTTTGAAGTCTGTCTTTATTTTTGGAAATAGGAAAAAGCCACAAGGAGCTATGTCTGGCGAATATGGGTGCTGAGGCATCGTTGCAGTGATATTTTCAGTCAAATATTCACTAACAAATATAAATATGAGCAAGTGCATCATCATAGTGGGAAAGCCATAAATTTCCGCAAATCCGGGCGATTTTTATTTCGGATTGCTTTACGCAAACGGCATTGAACTTGTAGGTAGTACTTGTTATTGTACCTCATGGCAGTAATTCATCATGCACTATGGTATTGAAATCGAAGAACACACTCTGACCGCACCTTTCTAGTCTTTTTCCGTCTTGGTGAGCGAAAATGCCTCCACTGGAATACAAACCCATGCACCATCGTTGACTTCATTCAATGACTCTTGAGCAACTTCCATTCGCCGGTGTTTCTGTTCAAAATTCAATAGTTTTGCAAAAAAATTGGTCGCAATGCGTTTCATACCTGAAACATTCGAAAAAATTTGATGCTTGAGCCAATCGTTACGCCAACATCAGCGACTCTGTCTAACTCTCAATATATTCTCCTATATCACCGCCGAAACCCGTGGGCATGGTTTAATTCCGATTGGTGATAAGTTCTGATTTCATGGCTATTGAAATTTCATGCCAATTGGGCAAGTTTTTCGGCCATACGCTGTCTCTGAGCATCAATAAATAAAATAGTAAGTGGAAAACATGTCTAAGAATACCCGCTTTATCTGGTTGAAAGATGGTTGAAAGAAATATGCAACCACACCAAATCTTCTATTGATGATTCCAACTTGGTTGGTGAAATACGGAAGGTCGTCGACATTCTCTTGCGGAAACATGAGGATAAACCAATGCATGGTGTCTTTTTTGATTGTTGCTTTTCTCAGGTCGAGTGAGCTGAAGTCGGAAACCGAGGGGTTCATCATGACCTGCTAGAATGGTGTCTCCCACACCTAGTCGCGTGATGGATATAGGTTCCTGACACCGTTTGCAGGGTCTAAGAGTGATTTATTACCACCTATGGCACTTTTACGGTATAGACGAGACACCGGCGTTGCCTACGCTAGAAGAAGACAATATTCGTCGTGGAGAAAGAGAAAAATCCTCGAATCTCAAGATGATGTCAATTTCCCGTATCGGGGTAAAAATTTTAGCCGGACAAATGCAGGAGGCTGTCATTATTGACTCATCGCGTCTGCTTAGGGCCCACGATTTTCAGACCCAATAATCTCTCACCTCACAGTGTGGAGAATGCCCTTGGTAATACCGGCGCGCCCTCCTAAAGTGTTGGTTCTTCGTAGACCGGGACTGACCAGCGCAACTTAAGAAAAAAAAAGATGGTGTTAGTAAATACAAAAACCGATTTTCAATTATTGACAGGATACCTGACAGCAACTGTTCTTATAGTGTCGCGGGGCCTCTCAAACAGATATGACACACGTGATGAAGAAATGTTGCAATTGCGTTGGTGTTTTACTTTGAAAGTTAAGGTAGCATTTGTGTTTTGTGTTGACTTCAGATAAATACGTACTTTCCCATTTCAAAATTGAAATCAACAGTTGTGAACATTGAGTGAATTATGTCAAAGGTCATTTTTAATAGTTTACAGGCTGATGTGAAACCGACAAAAAATAAATGTAGGCATATATGTTCTGCTACCGGGTTGGATCGCTAGTAATAGATATAAACAGAATTTTGATTGTGTCTGAAATGTAGTGCACGAAAGGAAATAATATGGCTTATTTGTTGCAACCACCAAAAATTCTGATAAGCAAAATTTATATCGAAGCTTTTTGAATTTTTTCATCTGTGATCGTTTTATTTTTGTATTGACATTGAAGCTTACTGTTATCAACTCGTTCCCACCCAAATATTTTCTCAGTTTTATTGGCAAGAGAAAATATTCTCAATTATTATTGAATTGGATTGGATCGAGTGTAATTCTACAGGCGATTTGAGCTAACTGGCGGGTATTTCCAGGTGTTTAACAGTCATGTGCCTCCTCCGGACACGTATCGCTCAAAGGTTTATATGAAATAATATTTCTTTTTTGTTGTGCTGAAATCAAGTGCATGTCATAGCATGTGTGGCATGTTCCTTAGTGCATGTTATACGTTTAGAATAGAAATTTAATCATATACTCTAAGGGTCTAAGGATATCAGAAAAATATCACATCAGAGCCATTATTTTCATTTATGAAACGTCTCTAAACGTTTATTCTAAGAATTATATTCGATATATCAAAAAGTCTGAAGTGCAAAACCCAATCATGAAATATTAAGACAAGTCTCATTCCGATTCACTGTATTTTATATATTTCACACCAAAAGAGGTTACCGACATTCAAATAGTATGTTTTTTATCAATTATAAAAACCTATGGCAATCCTTCAATATGCTCGTCATTTTTGTTATTCAACCATACGAGTATTAACCAATCTTGAAATTTTGTATTAATCCTTTTTATTCTTTCAATGAGAATGCAAATAAGGCCAATCGCTCAAGGACATTGATAATTAATTATGGGATAATTTTACTACAATTTTTGAAGGTAGGTTTGAAAAACTTGTAATGGAATCATGAATATTTATTTATCAGTGGTCGCGGGTGATTTATTAAAAAATATTTCTTACGCTCGATAAAATATATTCTCATATGGTATAGAGAAAACACTGTTGTTATTTGAATTTTTTCCCTACTTTTTGAATAAACAAATTAATCGGAAGTCCTGTTTACATCTCTCATTTGTACAGGATGGGCCACTGAGACCGAAGAAGGCCGATTTCTCATAGTTGCCGTTTAGAAAAAATATTTTTGGAGGATAATCTTGTTAAGTATATTTTCTACCTTCTCCCTTCCACCATTTTCAAGTGATGCCTCGTTTGAAAGATAGTTATTGTCTCGTTTCAATGCTAGCAAATTTTTCAAATTTAGTGTATTTGCTGTGAGAAATGATGTTATCAGTTAATAATCACAAGACAGCATGAGAATAGTTATGATTTATCAAATAATACCTGTCATTTGTATTCAAAAAACTTTCCTGCTAAGAACGGCTTCAAGGTTTGTAGGGTTGATGATTGAAATAAACAACATTTACCAAATTATTTATATACTTTTCACTTGAACAAATGAAGCATATCAGGTGAAATGTTCCGCAATAATATGCTGACTCAAATACTATAGAAGTACTGATCGAGTTTAATAAATCATAGTTTTCAAGCGACTCCATAAAAAATCTAACGGACATAAATCTGGTGACCTTGAGGACCACTACTCTGGTCTTGGGCCGATCTATCTACCAAAAGGATCTCAAGTGTAAAGGCGGATATCCACCAGACGCCCAAAACCACTTGAGTTGTCAAAATAAGGAACAATTTGAAGACTTTGTGTCGCGGGCGACTGTTTTTGTCAACAATGAATTGTCCTGTCAGCAGGCGGAAAGATCAAAAGGTTTCGGTGTTTTGTCAGTATTTTTATAAACTGTGATGGCTATGTCGAAACGGTCGGCGATATTATTACTTTATTTAAAGTGTTGATCTGTGGTGGGTATGAATTTCGATTATCGGCACTAGGCAGGCTACTTTTATTGTTTTTTTTTTGTATTGTTGTTTATTTCAATCAAGAACGAGATTTAATTTTCCTTTGTAGAACATGAGCGAAAAAAGCAATGGACAGTTGAAGAATGCAAAAATGTAATTTCTGTTCGTGATAAAAAACAGGCGATTCAGACTAGTTTTTGTCTGTTTGGTGTATTTAAACTTTGTTTTCGAAACTAAAACAAGTTTTTTTGTTTTGAAAACGAAACTAGTCGTAAGCGAGTTCGTTTGATAACGTTTTTTCTCGATATCTACCGAATCAAATTCAAAAAATAGGAAGCATTGAAAGAAGAAATCTGTTACCTATCAAATGAGATATCACTTGATCCCTATCCCATTCAAGATTCAAGGGTTGGATCGCTATCCGTCGAGAGGATGAAAATCCCTTTTCAAAATAAATTTGCCCTTGTTTCGTTTTTGTGGGCTCACCATATATAGTATAATAGCCACATAAGCATTCTTATATAGTCTATATAGTAACATTATCAGTTGAGCTGTGTCATTGCTATTATCCGGCATTTGCAGGTTTTTATGCCTGACGTTTCATTTACGACGGCGATACATAATGCCAAAGGCGATGAGACAACGAACGAAGTCTTCTGATTATAGTCAAAGCAGATAATCTGGTTTCCTGGTATTATTCTGTTTGTGGTGGACATGGCTTTACTCCTATCAGTTGAATTAAATGACCTAATACGAGAGCACTTACGTGCAGGTAGCCATGTTTTATTGATGCTAATTTCTTCTTCCTTTCGGTTGAAATAGTTTTTGTCTTTCTGAATCTGTATCACTTCTTTATATATTTTTTGGCAGTAACTCTGTGTTTTGTCGAAGACTTGGATCTTTTCAAACGCTATAACGTGGGTTCTTTCTCCAAGCATATATTCTCTCTATTCGTAGTTCCAATGTATACCGATCCACAGCTACAAGGGTTTTCGTTGATCTGAATATTGATTTATGTTGTGATTCTCCAGAACCCTCTCGATCCACTCGGTTTCGTTATACCCAGTATATTTCAAATCATTTTTCGAATGAGTTCTTATCACAGAACAATTGTAATTTCCTTTAGTGTATTGGATAAATGAGTGAATAATCTTCCAATGAAACTCGGCCGTACCTTCTAATTTATAGCACACGATACGTTTTTCACCGGGGCTAGTCATGGCGTTCGGGAAAATTACAATATTTTGAAGTTTTGATTTATTATAGAACTGACCCCACTATTGAATAATATGAATATTTTTTAGATCACGATATCAATGGCCGTTATCGATATATTTGCAAAACAGTAAAAAAGCAGGATTTAGTTTGTTGGTTATACCACCTCACTTTCAAATAATATTGTGTAATAAATATCATGTTTTTTATCCTTTTCAATGCGACGTTTCGTTCATTTCATTCTATCAACTTTTTTCAATAAATCTTTCTTGACATTTCCGTCGCGTCGTTAGAACATCACTAAAGTCAAGTCATATAGGTTTCCATCAGATGTCTGAAAAAATAGTTCAATTTTTTTCATATTCAGAAGACATAGATTGTATGTAGGTGGATGGGAATATCCTTATGTTTCTTCGAATTTTGTTGCACTAGTGTGTGACAAATGATTTTTATGTAGCATGGATGCGTATTTATGCTGTTTTTCGACAAGAATTTCGATAGTAAACCATGAAATAAAAGAAAATGAACTACATATTCATTTTGAAGTACATTAATAACCGTTTGATCCTGGTGAATTTGTGAGAATTTTTCAGTTATCGTTTTTTTTATGACTTTAAGAATAAAAACTTCAAGAATTATACGTGTTTTGAGACATGGCCGAATTTTTAAACGTCGCTTGTATACATAACATTCAATTTTTCTTCATTTTGATTTAATGTAATTGTCTCAAATGGATTACCCTGCTTGTTATATTATCTTCATATTGTACATGAAATGTTTCTTGTCCTTTCGTGAAGTTGCAGCAACGTTGAAAACCTCCAATTTCGCCGTACTTTCTACACAAAAATATATTGATGTTTGGTCTGGCGATCTTGTAGATTATCCATTTTATTTTTATTAGGTTTTTCAATAGTTTTGTCCGTTTTTATAATCCTACTTTGAACTGTAATATCACAGTGAATACTCATTCAAGTCAATCGAAATTAGTGCAATTTGAATTGGTGCACTTTTGCCAACGTGACACAAGTCAATTAATTCCGTCAGCATAAAAAGTGTGGGCTCGGGATTCAATGATGTCCGTTTTTGCCTAGTCCTGATTGGAGAAGGTTCTACCGCTGAGAAAGTTATCGAAGTGCTTGATAAGATGGTAGTCCGTTGGCAAGAAGTCTGGGCAGTATGGTGGGTGAGGCAGAACTTCAACGCTCAATTCGTTAAATTTTCGGACGGTGATTTGTGAAACGTGCTGACGGGCGCTGTTGTGGAACAGAATGGGACCTCTTCTGTTGGCGAGTGCCGACTACTGTTGACAAAATTTTTTGTACACGTCGTCGATTTCTTCACAAAAGGATGATGCAGTGATGATTTGGCCCAGTTGCAGAAAGTTAAAATGAATCACACCAGCCGCTGACCACCATACACCATGATCTTTTTTGGGTTTCGCCTCTGGGAAGTGCATGGGTGGCTCATCGGTGTCCAACCACTGTCCTGAACGTCTCGTTTTGTCGTAGATGACTTATTTTTCATCATACATGACGATCCGATCAAAAAAAGGATAGTTTTGGTCACGCAAAAGCAAAGAACAGACCCCGAAACGTGACAATTTCTAACGATTTTTCAAATCGTTTCAAACCATCAAAAACCGCATGGGAGCTGACGCCCAGTTCTTCCACCATCCCACGCACCCTTCAAAGCCTGCATAACTTTCGAATTTTAAGAAAATAATATTTTTTTCACGGCGCGTTGTGAGCCATCATAATAATATACGAGTACTGCTGAATAGCGAACGAAGAGACTATTTCAAAAGGATAATATAATGGTTATAAGTTAATTGTTCATTTGATAGTTATATATTTTCATTATTGTGCACCTGAAACTTTTCAAAACGTTTTTTTTTTGGTGCCGCAAAATATTTATATGAAACGTTCATTATTGATATTTGAATCAAATACTCACTATTTGGACACCCGGTATAACGAAATGTTATTATTCAGTGACCAGCGCAACTTCCGAATTTTAACGTTGGTCTATTGAAGAAAAAATGTGTAGAAGAATAAATAAGTTTACTGGTGTTGAGTTGATATTTGTATATCTTGTGTGGCTCTACTTGACTGTAATGATCTCAATTGAATTGATAATTATTTTGCATAAACTTTTTGAAGTTATTATTGTTTATTGTCTAATTGCAAAAACATGATCAAGAATGTATCTCACTTAAAGTCACTTTGTCGGCATTATCATTCATTTGCTTCTCTTCAGCTCCGTATAACTCCGACTGGGTTCGACAAAGAGTTTTTTATCGCCCGATGAAAGTATTTTTATTGAGAACTCTTCGTAAAAATAATGCTTATAATGAATTTCATTGAACAATGAATTCACTTTTGGAAAATTGCCAATTTGTCCTCTTTACAGAATAATCATTTGGAAATGATGTCTTTTACTTTTGATGACATTGTTACTGAATGTAGGAAACTTTCCAATCGTGAAGCAAAGCATTTCTTTGTGGCACCTCTCAACAATTTTCAATGGTTTTGCCACATAAATAATTATATCGAGTTCTGTTTTTAATGAGGACCAACGCTCTGTCGTGTTTTGCTTGAACGTAGTTAAGATCAATAAAAATGAAACCTTTTTTTTATTATTATTTGATATCTGTTGCTGGCTGATTGGTTGTCCCAAAGCCAAAAAAATTTAAGCCGCACACATTGATATGTATGATTTTTTGTGATATCCTTAGAAAATTTTTAGTGTTATTGCCTATTAGTAGTTCTACGGCGTCTTGTAATTTTGGTAATTCGTAAGCAACAAGTACAATTTTATTGTATTGTACAATTATTTGTTAATAATACGCTTGGGTTAATAACATTATAGTTGCATACGCAATGATAAACTTTTGTACACTTTTTCAGATTACTACCGAGTTGTTTGTCAGTCCACCGGTATAAAAATTTTCAACACTGATTCTGTATCTGGTGCTGAAATAGAACTGGTAGTATTTTAGACTTTTTTTACGATAAAACACTTAACGAATTTTTTATCAAAAACACTACACTGATGATTGTCGAATCAAGTTCACCATTTTGTCTTTTTTATGTTTGAATGTCAGTGAGATATTTAAAATTTCGTATCTCTGGTTTGCACCGTCATTTAATATAAAGGGTTAACGTAAATATCCCATTCTCTTAACTTCTGAACTGCATAAGATATCAGGATTGTACAAAATTTACCTGAAATGTCATCATTTTTAGCTGGATTTTGAGTAATTGTGATTAGAAAGACAAAAGTGTTGCATCACTTATTGCCTAGAGTGCACTACCCTTTCTTTAAGTAAAGGGGGTCTTGTGATATGACCTTTGATGAAGTATGTGTACAATTTATTTCATACATTATGAAATGTTCTTGGTAGCACCATTTTTTTCATCCACGAGTTCTGTAATGAACTGGGGTGTATATCGTACACTTCAGATGTCAAATAGTTCCTCAAAAATATCTAGAGGCTTCATATCAGGTATTGTAATGGGCCATTCCAAGGGGCGACGTCTGCCGATCTACCGGTTTGGATAATTGACGAACTTCAGAAAGTTTTCGACTGATATTACGTTTCAGCAAGATGAGATACTTCACCATCAGGACAAGCTGGTGCGAAAGTGGCTAGGTATGGCAAATGTGGTCCGGTAGATTATCTGATATGCCGCCATTATATTTTTTGAGGGGATTTGTAAAATCTAAAGTATACATTACATACAAAACCACAGTCTATTCCGAAACTCACGGTTGATGTCAAAGGTTTCCCCCTTTCTGTTTATTTTTTCTGTTAAGATTATCATCAAACCAATATAGAGTATTTATTTTCATTAAATATGGAAACATTATTCGTGCAAACTGAAATGATTTTGAATGAAATATTTTCAAACATATCACAACTTTATCGAAGCAATCCCTCCCGATTCGAAACTATTGACTGAAATGGACTATGACTATATGATATAAAACATTACCACCCACGATTTTCCCACAGGGTTACCATTGTGGCTTTTTTTTCAACAGTTGAATAGGGAATACGGGCATTTTCCAACGAAGGGCATTTTTTCAGCCAAAACTGTTCAATTAATGATTAAACTCAGAAACGGGTATATTGAACTTTTTTAAAAAATGTGTAACAAGGGAGTGAAGTTTGCCACCTGAATTTCATACTATATGAACCCTTGGACCAGTTACGAGGGGAAGTCAAGATTTTATTGAAATGTCCACTTCGGAATACCTTATGTTATTTATATATCTGATTCATTTATCATACCCGTAATCATCTATATAATGGAACGGCGTTTTTCAAATCAGTGTAGTGTTTTCAGATAATTTATTCTGTTTCAAGATATACAATGATGTAATATTGTATTCTTACAAAAGTCCGTTTTCTAAAGTCGTGAAAAAAGGTTGTCATTATTAGTTTCAACACTTTATATCTCGAAAACTAATTGAACGATTTTATAAAGATCACATAGAAGAATGAACTCCACAATGAGAGTAATAAACAACGTTTATTCATCAAAATAACACATTTTGTAAAATTAGTAGCATTTTCTTCGATTTTGATTGCTCTTCTCATAATACCAGTATAATACCACCAATACATAATATCAAAAGAAATAGTGCTGCTTGCTTAAGTCTAAGTCTAGACATGTTTGGTGAACTGAAATGAAAAAATGTACTTTTTGTGACTCCATCAGCTTGTAACAAATCATAGAATAACTAAAAATTGATTGTTGACTCAGTTCACAAACATGTATGGTCTTTCTAAATGCATATTAGACATTTGACAAAGCCTTGACCGATTTTCATCACATTTTCAACTTTACTGTGCTGTTTTACCCTAACAAATAATAATTTCTTACTTTTACTACTCGTACTCTTAATAATAGTTTCGTACTCTTACTAACTCAAACTTCAAAATACACATAGCATGTCTCAAATTGTGTCCTATTTGTACATCCTATTTCATAAGCTTTGTTAAATTTTAATATGTATTTTTTCGAGCTACCAAAATTACTGTGACACGTTGCAGGCGGTACAGAAGAACAATTTGATAATCAACCATATTTGAGTCTTTCTCAACTGAATTAAAATTTTACATTATCTAGTGTTTTCTGTATTAATATTTGAAACAAGAAAAATTCAAGCGACCCAAGTTGACGAATAAATAGGCACAGGTGTATAAAATCTTATACAGGATTAATCTGAGAAGTTCTTACTTACAAGAAAGAGATACTTCTGAAGAGCAGCTCTAAAAAATATTTGAGTATACAAGAGTGTTCTCCCGAAAATCTACCAATTTTATATTGTTTATCAACTTTAAAAATTTCTACGCTAAAGTACACTTTTCAGATTATACTATTGGTGCCTATTGTTTCACAGGAACCGCGATTCAATTGATTACAGTCAAATATGGTTAATTTGTTTTTTCGTCCATGTTGCTCTTTGTATTGTGACCAATGTGTGTTTCCAGAAATCCGACAACCTTAGTAAGCTGTACGAGATGGATGATAATCCTGACAGGAAAGCTTGGTTAGACAAGCTGCTTGCGTTTATGGATGATAGGAGGACCCCTATCACCACATGTCCGACTATCTCCAAGAACCCCCTTGATTTGTTCCGCTTGTATATGTTTGTTAAGGATCGTGGGGGCTTTATGGAGGTTTGTACCTTGGTTTATGTGTGTTTTTCATACTCATACATTCCTCAATTGATGGTTAATCTATAATACAACTGTACTTGTAAACATTGTGATTTATAGGATTCTGTCCAAAAAAATGTTGGTGAGATGAATAATTACAAATAAAGGTACCGTAATATATTATGTACAGTAATTACATTATTGGAATAACGCCAAGATAAATCACACTGAAGTAGTCAACTCGTGAGTAAAACTTTTAGATAAGTCTCGGCCTTTGAACTTTCACTTCTGGGGAATATCTCTGTCTAATTCAATTGGTGACTCATTGAGTCATTTTAAATTACAAACACACTATTACTTTATTTCTAAAATCAACTTGTGATTGATTGATTTTGAAAATTCACCCATGATGAATTAACTTCGGAATACATACTAGATAAACAATAAAATAGATATATTGAAAACTGATTATTAATAAAAAATAAGTGAATAAATTATCATACCCAAAACAGTAAACATCGTTTCACCCGGTATATTGTAAAGGAGAACATCGACCGACGCCAATTTTACGATTTGTGACGCAAAAAATATATTTTTGCTATTCGTGATGATGCTAATAGTATCAAGTTTAAAACACTCAAGAATAATATTCCTTCAAATCAATTGAGTTGTCTTTAAAAAAAATAATGTCAACTGAATTGAATCAGTAATTTTTTTTGTTTCTGTAAAGGTATTGTGAGAATTATGCTTTGTTTGAAATATTGCATAAAGAAAATGAAGTAGTGCTCGACCCAAACTGAGCAGAAACTTGTGATATAGTTTTGCTGTTTTTATCTTTCCTAATTTTACTGATGTAATCCTCTTTTTGTATTCTTTGTTTGATATACAAAATTTTTAAATGTGAGTTTAGTAACCAAAGTCGATTTATTGGACAAGTATTTTTTCCCCAGTTTATCTGAATCCTTCAAATTGAGTATATTTCATCAGTATTGATATTTATGGAGTCAAAAACTCCCTGGTTTAATTTTTTTGTTCGTTATAAGGATGCTTCTATAGGTATTTTTACACTTTCACCAAACAACTGGGAAGGATGTTACCATTTTTGAAACAATATCTTGGTGGAATAGGGACGACTTCTGATATTCCTCGCGAATTTAATATTATGTTCATGACAGAAACATTCAGCCCCGTGTCGAGAAGGCGGAAAACATTCTTCTACCTTTTAACTTATTCCTCATTTGTTTCATTCATCTACTTCAGAAGACTCAATTACGAATATCAAAGACAAACGTGGCTCCCCGAGGCGGTCAATTGCAAAGCCAAGCTTTGACATCGACCGCCGAACAAGATTCGTCATCTATCTTTCACTGCGAGGCAACTATAGATGAAACCAGAGCCCAAAGACTAAAAGCATTCCCCATCTAAAACCATATAGCGCTGTTTTAACGCGCCATATAAACCACCGATGAGACCTGTAGCGGATTGAAACTGCGTTGTCTGGTGTGGATCGGCGAATGCTTTGAATGTGAGCTCTTATTTCATCTCAACGGTAGGATGCTCTATATTTCGATAGACTTTGAAAAAATTACTTCATCACCATTTGACTTGAGAGTGAACTATTTGTAGTATGTTTCTTCTTCGCAATTGTCTCAATTCTCCTTCTTTCGTACTAGTAAACTGATATATCAGTTTATTTCGTTTTCATAACAATTGATGGTGTTTATACTTTTATCTATCCCATCTATTATCACGGTGGGGTTTATTGATCATTATGTATTTTCAATGTTTTTTTTAATACCACCCATATATTTTCCTGGCTATTCCGATTTCCTCTTTTATAGTTCAAGATTATATTGATTATATCATCGGAATCAGCTCTACAAATATCTCTGATATTTTCTTTTTCATTGTTTATTTATTCATCCCTTTATTATTGCAAATCAAGATCCAACAGATGGTTATTATTGTATTTTTTTGTATAACGGTGATTGTGACCCCGTCAATACATATCGGTATTGGACAGTACATGGACAGCAAAAAAATGTCAAAAAGGCACAGTTCAGGTACCTCACGTAATTTTTCGATTCCATCAGGAAATACGTCACTGGTCAGAAGAAGTAGATGTACTTAGGTACTTACGTTTCAAGTATTTAGGTACATCTAGGTACCGGTATGAAATTCTCCATTGTGAAAAGATGGGTGCAAAAATATTCTGTTATGAGAAAATGGGTACCAAAATCTTGGTATCAAGGTACCACTCACCGAGTTATCTTTAGGAAAATAGTTACACCATCAATTGAAGAACATCGCTTCGGACAGTATCTTAACATACACCCTTACAGGTAACTAATAGTAAAACGTGGAAGGATATTGCTGGTATGCTAGGGATTGGTGCTTCATCATCTGCCGCTTATACGCTGAGGAAGCACTACACTAAAAATTTGTTAGCATATGAATGTCAGTTTGATAGAGGTGGTATTGATCCTCAGCCTATAATAAATAAGGTGGAGGCGACATCGAAAAAGAAAAACGCCAAGGCTACTTCGGTACCTTCGCCGGGTTCCTCCAACTCGCAGGATTCTTTCCCACCAGGCTCGGGAGGAGCTTCAATGGACGGATATAGCGGTTATGGTGGATATCCTCCAACGGGGAATGCCGATTATCCCCCACAGAGGCCGTCATCGCAGTCTGCTCCTTCACCTCACGGAAGTAAGTACTAGTATAAGGTTCAAGGATTTTTTTCCACAAGGGACCCTTCAATTATGTCACAACTTCTTTAGAGTTATATATTTTTTTCAATTTTCACAAGACGTGATTTCATTTAGCATGGTTCTTACAGATTATTTGGAGTAACTGTAAACAAGCAGATAGTTGAATTTGGGTGGTTGAAAAAATGTAATTGAATAGTCATATTATGCAAAGTCTTTTCATATGAAGTTCTGATAAAGTTCTATACCCTTGTACAGAATGCATCGGTACTTTTTCAGGAATGTCACAAACGTGAATATGGAACAATGTTTCGTCGCCATTACCTCATCGTAGGTAAAATATTACCGAAAAGAGAGAAGAATATAGAATTTGTGAAAACACGAAATTTAAATCTATAACCTATGAAATTCAGAAACCCGAATATACCAATATATACCACGATAAGATTTCTGTCATGCCACCGTGAAAATATTTGAAAAATACCTATACTGTTGATAGGGAACTGAAAACGTATTTAATATTTTGTTTTTAATATTGTGATGCGTGAAGAATATCTACGTTTTTTTTTCTTTGAAACTCCCGAAAATGGTCAGAAAAAAATGTTGGGAAAAATATTGTAATGATATGAAAAGTGTGTTGCTTTTTGCAAAGTATTCAAACATCACCTACGCGCATAATCTCTGTTATTATATTCGTTTCCTATAACATTTTCGTCGTCGTAAATTTGGTAATGGTCTTTCAGTTTTCCGTCAACAGGTCGCGTGTTAAATAACTCTTTATTTTAATGTTGACTCAATCAGTCAAAATATGCTTTACTGCCCAAGCATCATAAAGTCTCTGTAACAAAGCTGTAAAATGCGTGAACGTGAAGATCGGGAAAATTGTTTTGACAAGTTGAAAGGTGCAGTTGAAACGTGCCGAATGTGTGAATAATAAAATGGAAATAACAATGAAAATATCCACGTTACGTATGTATCCTTGGTTAGGTTAATGAAATATACATAAAAGTCAAACTCCCTGAAACTAAAATGCGACATTAGTAGTTTTTAATGTCTTGTATATGATTCTTGCAAACCCAAACAATTCGATAAGTCGATGGACAACTCGCTCTGTACAGTTCACACACTTCCTTTATCGCGACAGGTTCGAACATAACAAAAACACCTGAGACTTTTTTGCACGCCTCATCATTTTTTCTACTACCTATGTCCTGTGAAATTTAACAAGGCGTTCAGTTAATTATATACCATTGAATAGGTTAAGTGTTTCCTAATGCCAATTTTATATAAAAGACAAAATGAATCAGTTGAGTTTTAATTCAGACGAGTATAGTCATAACAGGAACTTATTTTTTTATCATGGAAATCATAGACATACAGGTAAATCATTGTGTGGTTTTGATTATATTATTTCATTTCATATCCAAATAAACAATTCGAATTTACTTTTAAAGTATAGGTTGATGATGATATTTTGGCATATTTTATTTACTCCTAAAAATGTGTTTGAAAAATTTTGTTGATGATAATTATAGTTTTTCATTAAAGTTATTAGGAAACTGTTTTGAGTCTCTCTTCGAATTGTTTGTTGTTTGTGAAAATCAAAACAAGTATGCCATTCTCAAAATCCAAACATTTATTTCTTCCCTGTTTTTTGTGGGATCAACTTACAATTGAATAATCAATGCTAAAATGTTCTGTATTAGTAAATTCGAGTCGAATGAGTTTATATTTACATTATTCGAAAAGGAATATTGTACACTCGAAAATCGTCCGACTTTTAAACAATTTATGGAGTAGTTCTCTCTCTAAGCCTAGTGAATTTCCTTCTTTTCTTTATACGTCTTAAATTCTTTTAAAGTTCACTTCAGGAGTTTCGAAGTTTCAGGTTTATTTTTTTTCTCCGGAGCTTCTCTCGAGTATAGTTTTCATTTATTGACTTGTAAATAGTACACATAAAGGGGGCAATAAGTTGTTTTCGGTGATAACACATAAAATTTTGACATATTCAAAAGTACCTTGGAATAATATACAGGGTGTAGCCAAAAGAGAGGGACAAACTGCGAGGATGAGTTGTATTGCTGAAATAATGAAACGAGTTTCCGTGACACTGGCAATCGCCATTTCTTCTAAAGGGACCTTGATTGTATACAGTTGCTCATATTTCCATTGTTATGTTGACTACAACTCGTTACCAAGCTTGTTCCTGTCTTTTCCTCTGTAGAATAAAATATAACATTAATATAATAACACCAAGCTTTATGAAAAGTCTCCATGTCCAAAATTGAGCGAATTCTATTAACACGTATAGTAAATTTAGTGTATGTGATGAGTACTGCTATGTGTTTTCATCGGATGACAATTCATTGCCGGCCCTTAAGATCCATCATGTATCATATATATTTTAACCACCAAGGTGCAGGAGGGACGAATCATCTTAACAGTGCTGCCCCGGGTGGACCCAGTCCTGCAGGTGGAGCTTCTGACAATGTAAACGTATCTAATCCTTTTGATGATGTATCTCCAAGTCCTCCACCTAGAGGTGGCCCTTTCGCTGTCGGGTCGCATCCCCCTTACCCAGGAGGAGCACCACCTCGGCCACCAGGTCAAAATTATTCTGGGCAACCTGGATATCAGTATCCAGGACCGGGACCTGGATCGGCTGCACCTCCAGACCAGTATTCACCTTATCCAAATAGTTCAGGTAAGTTGTTGATGGAGTGAAATTAAATGAGGCCAATGAATATATTTTATAAATCAAAAGTGCGGCTGATCGTTTTAGTAGAATAGGCTCAATTTTGGACATATTTTTCAAACACTCGAACAATACATTATCGGGTGTGGATGATACTCTTAAGGTTTATTTATGTGCGAGTCCCAAATAACTAATACTCAGGTCATTTGTCAAAACTTATCTGAGGAACGGAAGAAGGTGTTCATACGACCCCTGTTGTGTGGGTTTCGCAGGAAAAAAAATGTATCTTGAATTATTGAAACCTTATTTAAAAAATTTGTGTTAAAATCGGTGCATCCAATTTTTAATTTAAATTTCCAGACATCAAACTCAACGGTAATTTTTACATTTGTATAGAAAAAACTATATGTTTATAAAATTCGTAAATCGTTATGGTATTGAAATAAAATGAACGTTCTAACAATGAATTTATTATTTCGGCTATAGGTATAGAAATGCTTTCTTACTAGATGTTTTATTGTCAAAGGAGATTATTAATTTTTGTTTTTTCATTGAATTATTTTGTATTGAAAAGTCAGTGAATGGTTTGCAAGATTCTCTCTTATTTATTTTGAAGATCAAACGAATGAATACTTTCTGCAGAGTTGCCATGCACATTGAATTAGGTTTATTAGTAGTTTCCCATTTTGAAATTCCATAGGTAACAACTTAACGTGCCATTGTAATGTGACTATGCAGAACGGAAAGTTTATAGAACGGAAGATAGATATTCAACATATGTTTTCTCTCTCTGAGAACCAGATTCTAATCAAGCTCACAAAACATGTTATAGGAAATTTGCTTTTAATTCAAAGTAAAGTAGAGTAGTATCATTAGCAAAACTATATATTAATCTTTAAAATACGTAATTCTCAAAGTTGGGAATTTTAAAAATTTCCTGTGAGTAGTTTTCCAACTCAACGAAGTGCTATCAAAATGGACACCTGAAAGTGTTACAGTAGAACTTTGTTTACCATTCAATTCTAGGGAGAGTTCTTAACATGTTGTTTGATAATTAGGAAATCTTGAAAAACGAATTGTGTCGTTATCGAAGTAGAGAGAATTTGCTGGAAACCATGTATTTAATGTTATAGTTTTTTGGAACAGAGATGTTTGTGTCGGTATTTATGTTGAGGTTCTGTTTTATCAAGAAAACTTCCAAGTTAGATTGTTATTCGTCTTCATCTGTTACATATTAATATCGTTTGCATAATATATTTAATTTCAATGTTGAACCCATTCAGCAGGGAACGGTTATTGGGGCCCTCTTTCATCTTGGGTGTAGGTTTTAGATTTATATTGATCCGACAGACGACGTCTTCATAAGTGAAGTGGGCTTGCTCAGTATCATCATTTTTAATAACAGCTGAATCCTGCCAAGTACCTCTGAGAGATTTATGTCATCAAAACAGCAATGTCTGGTATAATGCAATGCTTTGGTCTCTGATACCATCTAGTTGTCTTTCGCAATGAAAATTGTAGGTAGACAGAAAGCAATTTCTATTTAATTGAATTGATGGATTGTTTGGTTCATCAGGTATTAGTCATCACTATTCAAATGTAAATATTCGGAACAATCTTATCAGCTACATTACACATTTTCTTCAAGTCATTGTGTAAGCGTTTGTTTCTGATATATAATTATAATCTATAATGGAAAGCAGTTTTGTCTGGTGGTGATAAAAAATTAAATCGTTATCTACATAGGCAGTCTATGGAAAACTGCATTGAACTCTTTTATATAATAATTTGATAATCATAATAATAATGAATGTGTCACATTTTTTCAATGAAACTTTTTTCCTTTGAAGGTTATCCACCAGCTGTCAGACCAGTGTACCCACCCTATTCCAGTGATTCTTCAGCTCCTCCTCCAAATTCCAGTAACGCCCAAGGACCTCCAGTGTCGTCTTCACAGGACCCTTACAGATACAATGCAAATCCAGGTTCAGGTTACAGTCCCAGACCTGCTTATGGGCAAGCTCCAAGCAGTACTGGACCACCGCCTACATCTCAGCCAGCTGGCCCTGGAAACTATCCTCCCCATCCAGATTATTATCGTCCAGAACAAGTGCAAGTAAGTAAGGAAGATTAATGAAGAACAAATATATTTTAATGAAAGGTTTAGTATATAAAATTTTCAAAGGACAAGTACATTGAGTACAATTTCAGTACTACGATTCAGCTGTTTCTTTAAATCGAGATGTTCTATTATGGGTTTGATAATCTGACTGCTTGACTGAATCTAATAGGTCTTGGGTTTTTCAGCCTCCCTCTTCTGCGATTTTGAGAATGTTCTCTACATGGAAAAATTTCGGTGAAAAGACTCTTAGCCAAATTTACCAGTAGTTTTGTAGTCTTCTAACACTTTGAAGTTTTCAGTGGTATTCAGCATATTTATTTTATCAACGTGGATATTTGTTTGGAGACATTTCTAAATACATGTCTAGCATGCATTTCTGTTCGAAAGTTGCTGGTTCTTGGCCCTGTCCTTTTCATGCCGACCCCTATTGTACTTTCTGCGACTTATAACCTCTTCAAACTTCACCTCAATGTATGTAGGTGACCTACTGCTCCTAGATTATGACATAGATTATAGTGATATGAAATCTAAAGTCTTTCATATTGCTTCCATGTTTGGTAAATTCCCATGTCACTGTTTGTTACAGCTTTCATTATAGACATATAACTTGAACTTATTGTCACATATTGAATTAATAACAACCATGAACTTGAAAAAAAATGTACTCCAGGATACTTGAAATGTAGCTTCGATTGTATGAGTGATAGTTATTCTATTTATATACTAATGGAAAAACTGAACCTTTGGACAGATTTGAATACATGAAATATTATTTAGCAGGGAGCTGGTAGCGGAAGTGGATATGCAGGGGGGCCAAATACAAACAAAACGATGCCTCCACCTGGTCCACAACCGCCTAGGAGGCATCCTGATTTTGCCAAAGATCAGCCATACTCTTATGGTCAACCTCGAACTCCAATGTATGGTGAGTTGATGTGTAATTTGTATCTGTAATATAAATGATTATAATTGAATTTGTTATAATTATTGGCTTTGGTTTCAGGTGGTTGGCCCAATAATAACCAGTACAGGGCACCTCAATATGGTGGTACTCCAGGAGGACCACAGGGAACCCCTCCACAGTGGAATCAAAGTGGAAGGCCTGGAGGACCTTGGGCTGGTAATCAAGGTTACCAACAGCCCCAACCAGGGCAACCACCATGGCCAGGAATGGCTCAACCAGTAGGACAAAATTCGAACATAAGGCCTACACATAGGCCAGGAAAGCCATTTCCAAATATAATGCAAGCTGGTGGTGCCAAGGGGAATCAAGCCCAACCTGCAGCCGGAAATACTTACAGTCATAACCAGATGCCCAAGAGAGAAATTACTTTTCCACCTGATAGTGTGGAAGCTACCGTACCAGTTCTTTATCGAAGGAAGAGGATATGTCGAAATGATGTTGGGCAGGTTGATGCTTGGCGCATCATAATGTGCCTACGATCAGGGCTTTTGTCAGAGAGTACTTATGCTCTAGATATGCTAAATGTTCTCCTTTTTGATGATTCATCAGTAAGCTACTTTGGACTGAGCCAGTGGCCTGGACTGCTTGATTTGCTGATGGAGCATTTCAAACGAAGTCTTTCAGATATGTTTGATGGACCACACGAAGGAAAAAGTGACGAGTCTGAAATCGACCTTGGTGGTGTTATTACACCAATAGATCCTGAATTGAAAACTGTTATGTTGAATAATACTACCAATTACTCATTATTGAGTCGCAAAGGTCACCCAGTGAAATTAATTGATAGACCTGAAGATATTTTCATACAAGACAATGTCAGAGACTGGGACATTCGAGGTGATCCAAACATTGCGAATATCACAGCTGAAATACCTTCTGATCCATGTCACACAAATGCGGATCACATTCTACCCCCTTTTCAAGCTGAATTCGAACGTATTTCGTTTCATATGAGGTTGAAGGAGGACATACCTATTAAAACAGAGGAGGCCGTGATAGAGGAAGAGGTGGAAGTGAAAGTAAAGTCACCGCCCCCAGATGACGTTCCGCCGCCAAACGAAACTCCTCCACCTGCGAAGAGTAGTGAGAAAAGACGTAGGACAAAGACCTTAAGTGATGTGATATCTCGAATTAAGAAGGATTCTGAGGCAAATGATGTGCTCACGTTAGATTCAACAGACAAAGTGAAGACTGAGATAGTGAGTGAAAAAGCGAACTGTGAGGAACAGCCAAGTATAGATCTGAAAGTAAGTGTAAATGGAGAGTGCAGTGAAACAAAAGAACAAACGGTGCAGGATCCATCTGGGACATTGAAACGAAGAAGAATTTCTGACTACGAAGACGAAGCTTATTCCAGAGATGAAGCTAGCTTGGTTCTACTTACAGAAAGCCAAGATAATATAGGAAAACGATGTATTTGCTTGTCAAATATTCTTAGAAGCCTTACATTTGTTCCTGGCAATGAAATTGAGTTTGCCAGAAGTGGGACATTTTTAGCACTTATCGGTAAACTATTGTTATTGCACCATGAACATCCACCACGGACGCAGAAGACTAGAAATTATGACAGAGAGGTGAGTGTTTCGTTGTGTTTATAGTTGGAATGAAAAACAACACTCCAAACATTGATACAACCATTGATATTTGGGTTCCATGGTATTAGATTAAGAACCATGAACAACATTAGTTTGTGGATGGGTATACATGAAATTTTCTGAATATCACAAAAATGTTACTATTTGACAATAGAACAAAAAGTTCAATGGGTGAGAATCTCAAAAATGAACTGGTTTTGAGCCAGCTCAAAGTTAGAGATGTTCAGTTCCCTATAAAAATCCAGTGTGGTTTCTGAGGTCACTGAATACGAATCTGACGTCAGATTATCGATATTGTGACTCATAGTAGGTCATGATTCTCCGAAAATTGGACAATTTTTGAAAAGTTTTGAAAAACTTTTATCTGGTAGTTTTTAAGAACACTAATTATAAATTTTAGATTAGATAATTGATATGATGTTAGGTTTTGTAGGGAACCGAATATAGGGTGATGACACTATTTTAACTAAAAAGTATAACTTTGAATCACTGTAACTCGAAACCATTTATGAGCTTCAGACTCGTTAAACTTTTTGTTCTACTCATTAAAAACTAACTTATTCTTGAGTTTAAGAAAATTTGACATGTCTTGTATTACATTATCATCCAGCCCAAATGAGTTCTCGAAGAGAATAAATATGCTGATATTTCATGTGTTTCATCTACAGAAACATTTTGTAATGAGTTAATTTGAGTTCTACTTTACCATCATTACTTTTCCCATAATCCAGTTATGTCACAAAGTATTTGTTACTGATATGTTTTAGCATAATGGCAATACAGAATGGTTCTGAACAAAAGTAAACAAAGTATTGGATCTGTATAAATTGACCTCAACGATGGTAGTACTTACACTAACCTTCAAAGAATAGTTGAGAACTCCAATTACTTTTTAGACTCCTAGTTGCTTTGAAGAAAGTGATCCTTATCGAATCATTAAATTTTTAGGAAATTTTTATTTGTCAGTTATTGGGATTTTTTTCATGTATAACTGANCTTTCAGTTTAAGCTTTTGAGATATTTCAGTGACGGTTGTAGGTTGATTAATTACATCTAGATACAGCTGAATTCACGAGGTAGATTCGAAGTTTGTATTTCGATTTGGAAAACTGGGTCCCAGTGATATGTCTGACAATACAAATAACGTAACAAAAATCACTTCACTTCATTTTTTTGGTCATCAGTTGATGAGTGAGCCAATTCTTATTTTTGCATGCAAATCAGAGGTTTTATCAACCTGAGCTTATTATATTTTCTAACTCACAGCATCTATCCTTCCAAGAGTGTACCAGAATTTTATTTATGGTACTGACTTGATTAATTCATATTCGATTTGAGAAAGTAGAGCATGTCTTATGTAAGATGTTTCAACTGATGAAAATCGAACCCAACAACTTGTCTCATATCTTATTCAAGTCCTTATGTTCAGTCATTATTGGTATCTTTCATTTCAGTCAAAATTAGTTTTTCACATACATCACTTTTTCTAAATTAATGTGCCATCATTAACTTTATTATCACTGAAGATAAGAAGAAGCCGTGCAATCTGGCAAACTAGTAACTTTTCAACCAATTGCAAAAAAGGAGTAAATTCTCACTTCGTTGGAATATTTTTTCTTGTATGATCAACCATAATATCTTATGATAGCCAGAAGCAATAAGTATCCATAGCCTTCAAACCCGTAAAATAATTAATTTAAATGACCAATATTTATAAAAGCATTGAAACACATATATTCATCAGAAAAATATCAATACAAAATGACAGAGTATTGTGGTTCAGATTCACATTGTTACTGCACTGAAATAAAAACAATGTCTTCTCTTAGGGGATCAACAGTTGCCAGTTGCCTTTTTCATCAATGATATTGAAACTAGTGGAGAAAGCTGTTATCATATTCTTAAATATTTGGAATGCTTCAACAACTCAAGGCGATCACAATAAGTCTATAGAAAGTAGCGATCAAAAGGCAACCTTCTCACACACATCACACGCCTTTGGAACAATATCACCGAGAAAAATATAGAGTCTCAGTCTGATGTGCTTGATATTTCCAAGGCCTTTGACCAAGTCTGGTATGAAGGTTTACTGAAGAAACTTCAATGTTATTTTTTTGTTCATGGCTCTACAGCTTTTTCACAAACCTGTTCCTACAGTTAGTCCTCGGTGCTCTCTTATACCTTCAACATCAAAGATCTAATGAAAAAGACTGGGAAATGCTATATTTTGATTTGCTGACACCAGTACACTTCCTTTTTTTTTCCCCAGAAACCTGAACATTAGCTGCCAATGCATATCTTTGCTGACCTTTTTTTTACCTTGATGAAGGTTTAGTGTAAATATCGGTATAGGGTTTCAGTAACCAAATAAAATTCATTACTACGAAACCAGGCATACATTTTCAGTATGAAATTAAATCTGATAGATATAATAACATGATATCAGGACACACAATTCTGCTGAATGCTTCAATTATTCAATTAGGTGTTGAATTGGATACCATTAAACTAAGTAAAGTGTATTCATTGGTTTATACCAGAGTGTGATATCAAACAATTCTTGACAATAAAATTGAGTAGTAAACAGTAAATGTGTCTTGGCACAATTTCATTACTGGCATAGCCAAGGCAGCTTACCAGAAACTTGGAAAACAATTTCGAATTATAAATTTTCACATACCTCAGCAACTTTCAATGCCTTATGAAGCACATCCTACCACTTTTGCATAGGTAAAGCTCTTGAAGCTTTGAAGTATTTTTCCTTAGTGGTCTCCATAAAAAACACCAAATTCAACCTTTAAAATTCAAATTTGCCTATAATAAAATAGATCATAAATCAAGAAAAACTTCAAACACGATTCAAAAACACATTTGATTGAACCTATCTATTGAAAACACTTTTTTCCGCAATAGGAACAAAAATGCTGTCTCTTGTTGCACGATTCACTATCCAAGTAAGCACCATCAGCAGATAACAAAAACTAGATTTACAAATAATTTAAAGCTTATATATTCATCTGAGCAATTTTGTTCTGGTATGGAAAATTATTTTTGATAGAAAAACACGCATTTTACTTTAAAACAGAATGTTGAAAACGGATGACTATTACCAAGACACATCTGTAATAGTTTGAGATGATATCCTTATTATTCAGATATATGCTTGATGCTGTATCATTCCTTATCTCACCGAGCTCATAAGACGTAAGACTATAGTTTGGACCTTTAATTTATCTAGTTTTGATATTTCTGTCATTTTCACTTTCAATAACATCTATTTTTTTCAATTTGTGGAAAATATAACTAAAATATGAACCAAAAACGTCAATTATGAATTTATGCAATGCTTGAGAACTCTTTCAAAATTATGTTCTTATTTACCTATTTGTATCATCTGTTAGGAAGAAAAACAAAAAAAAACACTTGAATATTTGTTTGTGTGTAATTATTAACGTTGAACTGTATCTTTGAAGTTATTTCTTGTCCAATTAAACATCATCACATAGAAACTATTATTAATTACAAAGTTTATGTGGTAACAATAATTTGAAAATAAGTACATTTGTTGGATTTGTATTGAATGTCTACATTAATAAGAAATTGTTTCAGGAGGATGCAGATTTTGCTGACTCGTGCAGTAGTCTACAAGGTGAAAGTGAATGGTGGTGGGACTTTCTTATACAGATTAGGGAGAATATTTTGGTATCAATATCAAATATAGCTGGACAAATAGATGTATCTGTATTTGAAGAAGAAGTAGCCAGACCTTTGTTAGATGGACTCCTGCATTGGGCCATATGCCCTTCTGCTACTGGTCAAGATCCTTTCGCTTCAGTAGGTCCTACATCGCTGCTTTCCCCTCAGAGACTAGCTCTAGAAGCCCTTTGCAAAATATGTGTAACAAATAGTAACGTAGATCTGGTGATAGCAACACCACCGTTCCCCAGACTGGAAAGGCTTTGTGCAGTACTTACCAAGCACCTGTGCAGATCTGAAGATCAAGTTTTGAGGGAGTTTTCTATTAATCTGTTGCATTATTTGGCGGCCGCAGACAGCAGTATGTCAAGAGTTGTTGCATCTCAAACTCCTTGTGTATCGCTGTTGGTAGCTTTTATCGAGCAAGCAGAACAAAGTGCCATGAGTGTGGCCAATCAGCACGGAATCAGCGCCCTTAGAGAAAACCCCGACTCGATGGGAACAAGTTTGGATATGCTGAGGAGGGCCGCTGCTACTCTGGTATTTTTGGCTAGGCATCCAGACAACAAAGCTTTGTTAGTGCAGCAAGAATCGCGGCTACTTGCCCTTGTAATGAGCCAGATCTTAGACCAACAAGTGGCATTACTGCTCTCCAAAGTGCTGTTTCAGATATCCCGCAGCTAATAATCCACTCTACCTCTGTAGATACCGAACTGTCTATGCGGCCTTGCAGGTGTACAGAATAGACCCTTGTATAGCGTGATTTCCCAGACTTTTACCACAATGACAGTGTATATGCGTGTATGCAAGTGCGAGTGTTGTGAGACGATGGACACCAAGACTAAAATGAGATCCGGATCTCTGATAGCTAATCAATTCACATAGTGTAATCCATAATTGTACCATTTTGTAAATTAAGCGACATACGTCTTTCTGGAAAATGTTTAACATACATCCATGTTACTTATGTTATTTATTATTTGATATATGATTAAACAGTAGATTCCAACTGCTCTGGAATAGCCTGATCTGGTGCGGAGGCAGGTGCAGGTGGTGTCATCTCCGTTTGGTTCCCTGCACACTCACTTTTCTTATTTCATGTTTGGTATTACTGTGCGAATGCTTTATACATGTCTGATAATGAATTTAATTAAATAAATGTACAAAGGAAGTACCGAAAATGGTGTTTTTATACAAGTTTTAATTTTCTATGTATATTTAGAAATGTTTTATACATCCCATTTTAGCTGTTACATTGAACTCTGTTAATGAACAAGTATGGACTGTAACATTAGAAAAGGCAGTCTTGATCTAGAACTCAAATGTAGTTTAAAATATGTGGTGATATTTTTCTGGCTGTAGGTATAATTCATCTTATGTATGATTGCATATTGTAAATTAAGTAAATGCTAAATACATTAAGATGTTTTTTTTAATTCAATGATGAACCTTTGTATCCAGTGGATCTACTAGAACTTTCCTGGGACAGGTTTACTTCAAATTTTGAGTATGGTAAGTACTTTTTACAGCTGCCAGACTGAGTTATTGCCGGTGAAAAGCCCCTCCTTCAAGATGTGCAGTAGATGTGTAGAAATCCGTTATCAGTCTGTTAGATTGTTCGAGCCGTAAACATCCAAATTCAGGACCGTGTTCAGTTAGTGATGGAGTTTGAAAGTAAATTGCATAAACATATTTTAAATAGTCTTCACTGCACATCTTGAGGGAGGGGCTTCTCACCGGCCGTGACAGTCTTGTAAGCTATAAGTATCTACAGGCTTTTTGGTCTGAACCTATATATTTTAAATTTTTGGGGTTAAAAAGTAACATTTTTGTTTGTATTCTTGCACTACTCCACAAAGAACTATTTTTGACTAATTAAAAATGTTCAGCTTTTTCAGTGAAGGGAAAATAAATTATTATTCATTCAAGTACACACAAAAATGCATCTAGTCGGGTTAAAAGCTATTACACCAAATTTTGGTAACTAAAATATATTTTTTGAGCTGAGCTTTCTACTGTTGAAATTTCGAAATTGCAGTTAATTTTTATTTTCCAAATGAATATCGATAAGATGAAGTTTGTCTTAAATATGTAGTTTCAAAAACTTTCCACAGATAGCACCACTTCTATACCACCACTTCTCAGGTTGAAGGAGGAAACGGTAGGTGAGCCATGTTTCCGTCCAAAGTTTCGTATTGCTAACTAAATAGTGTTTGAATAATTTACAGTATCTTTTGAATGTCTAGCCACTTTTGTTTCTGGGTTACCATTCTATCTAAGCGATTGAATTAATATTTTCATAGTGAGTGTTAACTTATCTAGAAGTGTAGCCAAATCTGTTCCATGGTAATATTTCAATGTCAAAATAATTACACTGATATTTGATTTCATCACACAAATAAATTCTAAGATGAGATGAAGGGTGGTTTAGTCAAAAATTTCACATTGGTTACTAAACCAATGAACTGTTATCATTTCAATTTTATATTCTTAATGTTGAGAAAGATTCCTTTCTGTATTAATTTGGTATTCTGCCCTTGCATGTAACACATTTTTTGTACCTTCATACTGAGCTTTTGACTGTCAGTAAAGTTGAAAAAAGTTTCATTCGTGAGCTAGTTTGGTAACCTTCCCAATCTTTCTAGAGTAACTGACTTATTTTTTTTTATAGGGAGTGTTCAACTGCGAACTAGAAGTGGTGATATCTGTTATGAGTTCTACAAAATCAAATTTTGTTACTGATGTTAATTTCTTAAGTTTTCGAGAAAAAATGTTGATGTTTTTCAATTTGGGTTTAAGTTTAGCCAGAAATCTGCCTTCGCTTTTTGTAATCTTGAAAATGAATCACGAGAGCAAGAAATTCATGTTATGTCATGGAAAAAATAATGAATACATTCATGATCAAATGTACGGTATGATCTTTTTCTTTCATGAATAATTCGGTTGCTTTTATCCATCAGAATATTCGTCTTATTTTATTATGTTATTCTTGAAGACTTCAACTGAAAGCCTCATTATATAATGTCACAATGAATATAAAAAAAAAGTTGAAGGAAAGAACCTTAGAGCCTATAATTGGGTCACAATTGACACTCTACTGAATAAAAAATCCATTCATCTTGCATAATTTGTGTCAGCTACATATCCAGGTCAGCATATCCAGGTACTATGTAGAAACTGTCAGTAAAAATAGGGACGGTTTTGTAATTCTTTTGTTTGATAGTTAATTTTTGGAAATTGGACCAGATGTTCCTGATTAATTAGCCTTAATTATCGACAAAGATAAATATAATTTCAATGAAAATTGTATTCAAAACCTAATTCCAATTTATCCCAGGAACGGCTAAAAAAAATTGACGTCACCCTTTTGGCAATGAGTGATGCCACATTATCGTTTTTATTATTGAAAAGTACTGAAAATAATACATTTTTGAGTAAACTTTGTTTGATCATGATAAATTGGCACACTCAAAAGTTAAGAGAAGGGATTTTCATGTCCTTAATGTGTTTCAATATCTTTGCTGTTTGGGTTGAAGAAATTAAGTCACATTTCTCGCACAAGCAGTGAACATGAACTTTTTGTTTGTTATCTTACAATATGGTAGTAAGATGTAATTGAAATATTTGACTTCATTGACCTGAAAAAACAAAAAAAAAAATACTCAAAACCCAAGGTTTTGAGTAAAAAACAAATTCGCTAAGAAAAATGTGAATTTTATGATCTACACTGACAAAAATATACTCTCTAACGTTATACAGTAAATGGTCTCATTATGAAATGTAATGAAAGTATATTGTTTTTAATTCAATAGCTTCTTTACAATTCAATTCAGCACCGAAAACTCTTACTCTAATATGAAGACTTGTTAGAGAAAATGAAATCCGGCTGGTAGGTTGTGGTCGAGTGGAAATTGTAGTACCAAACGTTTCGTCTGCTACTGCGACAATCATCTTCAGTTGTCGTCGTCCTCGCAGTCAACGCATACATCACTGAAGACGTTTGCCACAGGAGCAGGCGAAACGTTTGTTACTACAAGTGTCATTCGACCACGGCCTACCACCCCGAAATTTGTTCTCTTTAATAGTGACTCTAGTCGTGAATGCCCATGATCTTATACTATAAAAAACCTAATTAGAGCCGGTAATTTTGTCTTTGTTCACTGACTAAGGAAGACAACCAAATAATGACAATAAAATATAGAACAACCAAGTCGACGCATGCGTCTAGGAAAAAAGTACATGAAAATGGCCGTTGTGTCGCCTTACTGTGATAAAAAATCCTTGGGTTTTACACTACAACAATGAAGATATCCGACTTTGCTATGACCTTGACAAGAGAGTAAAGTTTTCAACGATTCCATCCTTGTTTCCAGAAAAACTATCTAAAATTTTCACTTCTAGTCTAAATCCCTCCGTAAATTCAGGGAATAAATTGTTTTCTCCTGTGTATATGCCAAGCCAAAATCATTACCTAACGTTAAATTGATAATGTTAATTGATAAAAACGAATAACCAAAGTGGTAAGTTATAGATTCAAAACAAGCACTTCTCCCAACCATCAGAACTGCAACACTCTTTTCGACGGGCGTTTCATCAACCGGAATCTTCAGGAAATGGAGTGGTTTTGGATTCATTCTAAGCCAGAGGTTTCATAGAATATATCAACGGAACATATAATTGTGAACAAGATTGTTGGAAAAAGATGGAGGAAAAAACCCAATAAGTCCTTGAGGCTGCAGTGTTTTCCAGAGACTTCAAAAAAATGGACAAGTTAGACGGCTCCCAGGAAGTGGCAAAAAAACAAAATGATATTAAAAGAAAAGAAACATGAAGGGTACAGGTTCTTCCGTTTCATCTAGCAATCCTTATTCTTCAACTTTTAGCGCTCAAAAACCCTCAATTCAAGGTAATGACCATTCCGAGCAAACTGTGATCAAATTTGAAGCACGATTATTTCTTTAGGCGTATATTATTTACATCGGGGCTTTCATTATTGTCCGTCGCATTCTTTGATCTTCGATAAAAACCGAATGAAGCAACGGTTCGGGGTGAAATTTGGGACAGACGCGAATTTTGACAAAGACAAGAGGTTTATGGAAAATAAGCCTAATCGAAAAATGGAAAAAAGTTTTCCGTCATGTGAATAACAGATTTTCCGAAAAATCTGTAAAAAATTACGTCCCAAAAATGCCTGCAGAATAGGTTGTGCTAAAAACGTCAACGATGTTTCGAAAAATATTTGTGAATTCTGGAAAATCCCTGTAGTCTCATAATCGCCAAAAAGAATGAAAATTTCGAAAATATCCACTTACAAAAAATCTGTTTTTCCGTGTATCAGCTGTCACCCCCATACGAACGACAACTCTCAGAAGTTGAGAAACTTGTGCGAGCTAAAGACTAACGAGGTCTTACCTTTTAACGTGTGATTCCTAAAACGGAAACACTTTACCAGCAGCAGCAGCATTAAGTCCCTGCAATCGATTGCAGAGAAGGCTTTATCTTTCCAAATGGTCTGAATATTTGAATATTGTTTTTTTTATTGTGTCTCGTCAGAATTGTTTCTAATCGGCCTGTTTCTCTAGGGATGAAGGGAGGGTAAGCTTCTCCAACCATTGTTCGTTCCTCTAAATCTGGCTTGAGGAAGCTCATGGTTCCCAGGCCTCATCAATCTTAGATATTGTATATTCATTCGATCGAAAGGCCTGTCGTCCAAGTATTCCGATTCGCAAATTCTAAATAGCAATCCAATATGGAAGCCAACCCTCGCAAGAACGAAGATACTGAAGATAGTACTACAGTGCTCCGCCGAAATCTCGTCCAGAATATAAATATAACCTTCGAGGACACAAACGCTCCTGAAGAAGCATAAGCATACAGAAGGGCCTCCACAAACTATCTAACATACAAACTGTTATGATATACAAAAGCAATTCATGTCAGTTTGCTTTCAACGCCTGACATGGAAGCGCCTATGAAGCACCTAGCCATGCAACATATATATTAATATTTCCTCAATGGATAATAGCGATAATGAGACTATAGGGATTTTCCAGAGTTCACAAATATTTTTCGAAACATCGTAGTTAGCTATAGCAGTACTTTTTTCTGGTGTGGAAATTGACAGGTGTCAAAATTGAAATATCCGGTGCTTTACAATGATTGTTTTTATTGATTGTTTTAAAATAATTTCTCTATATTATTACTGACGATTCATAAGGTGTTGTATCATTGTTGTTAATCAATTATGATTGATATTCGGCTTTTTCTTAAATGTTCATAAGTCAACTACGAGTGGCGCTGACGTTTGGAGGAAGTTTTCAAATTCATGGATAAATCTATTTCAAATTGTAAAACAATTTTAATTTCGAATCAAGCCAAAAATGAAAGGGTTGGACAATTTTTCCACTATTGGATATTTTTTG